TCCCAATCCCATCATTCCCAATCCCATCATTCCCATTCCCATTCCCATTGTTCCCATCATTCCCATCATTCCCATCATTCCCATTCCCATCGTTCCCACCTCGGCCAGCTGCAGCACCACCGTGTGGTCCATGTTCAGCCGGGTCCCATTCCCAATCCCATCATTCCCAATCCCATTCCCACCATTCCCATTCCCATCATTCCCAGCATTCCCAATCCCATTCCCAGCATTCCCATTCCCATCATTCCCACCTCGGCCAGCTGCAGCACCACCGTGTGGTCCATGTTCAGCCGGGTTCCATTCCCAATCCCATCATTCCCAATCCCATTCCCATCATTCCCAATCCCGTTCCCACCTCGGCCAGCTGCAGCACCACCGCGTGGTCCATGTTCAGCCATGTCCCAATCCCATTCCCATCATTCCCAATCCCATTCCCATTCCCAATCCCAATCCCATCATTCCCAGCATTCCCATTCCCACCTCGGCCAGCTGCAGCACCACCGTGTGGTCCATGTTCAGCTCGGCGGGCACCGACTGCACCAGGCACGTTCCCCCCACGGGGATGACCCCGAAGCCGCTGCCCAGCACCTTCAGCTTCTTGATGGCGCGCAGCAGGTCGTCCCTGCGGACACCGGGACGCCGGGACACCGGGAGCTGCCCGCCGTCCCACCCGGGAGCGCCCCAAACCCCGCCTCAGCCCCAAAAATGGGGGGCTTCAACTCAAAATCTGCTTCCGCCGGGGCTGGCCCGTCCCCTCCTCGCAGCTCCAGTGGGAAAATCCTCCCGGGGCTGGATTTTAGGGAAAAATCCTCCCGGGGTTGGATTTTAGGGAAAAATCCTCCCGGGGTTGGTTTTCAGGGAAAAATCCTACTGGGGTTGGATTTTAGGGAAAATCCTCCCGGGGTTGGATTTTTAGGGAAAAGCCATCCTGGGGTTGGATTTTTAGGGAAAAATCCTCCCAGGGTTGGATTTGTGGGGAAAAACCATCCTGGGGCTGGATTTCAGGGAAAAATCCTCCCGGGGTTGGATTTTAGGGAAAAATCTCCCAGGGCTGGATTTTAGGGAAAAATCCTCCCGGGGTTTGGTTTTCAGGGAAAAATCCTCCCGGGGTTGGATTTTAGGGAAAAATCCTCCCGGGGTTGGGTTTTAGGGAAAAATCCTCCTGGGGTTGGATTTTAGGGAAAATCCTCCCGGGGTTGGATTTTAGGGAAAATCCTCCCGGGGTTGGATTTTAGGGAAAAATCCTCCCGGGGTTGGATTTTAGGGAAAAATCCTCCCGGGGTTGGATTTTAGGGAAAATCCTCCCAGGGTTGGATTTTAGGGAAAATCCTCCCGGGGTTGGATTTTAGGGAAAAATCCTACTGGGGTTGGTTTTTAGGGAAAAATCCTCCCGGGGTTGGATTTTAGGGAAAAATCTCCCAGGGCTGGATTTTAGGGAAAAATCCTCCCAGGGCTGGATTTCAGGGAAAAACCATCCCAGGGCTGGATTTGTGGGGAAAAACCATCCTGGGGTTGGGTTTTAGGGAGAAAATTCTCCCAGGGCTGGATTTTTAGGGGAAAAAAATCCTTCCAAGTGTTGGATTTTTAGGGAAAAACCATCCCGGGGTTGGGTTTTTGGGGGAGAAGCTGTGGCAGGCAGGGATCCCTGAGCAGCCCAGCGCAGGCAGGAACAGCTGGAACAGCTGGAATCTGCAGCCCCCGATCCCCAGGAGTTCCCAAGGGAATTCCCGAGGGATTCCTGAGGGATTCCTGAGGATTCCCGGGGGATTCCTGAGGGATTTCCGAGGGATTCCTGAG